AAGGATTCGTACTCAGTGTTTAATTTAACACTAGGTTTCCTCAAACATTTCTCATAAATCCTTCAAAATCTAGGAATTTAACTATGCAAAATTCCTATCGTGATCACAGAAACTTTGATAGTGTAAACGTGTGAACTGAAGCGACTTTTCAAAGTTGTAACTGTGAATTTATCATTATATATACACATTAATACACAACTACAGTGATAAAATCGCGTTCCAGTCACGGTGCGCGTACTCTCAGACGGGGAAAAGACAGTACTTACGAATGGCAGATTAACCGAGCATGAGAAAGACTAATAAGCACTTCCCTCTGCGCGCAAAAATTAAAAGCTGGAATTGCCCAGGGGGTGACGGGAAGTAAGGTATCATATTGCTGATTATGCTGAAAAATTTCAATAAAAACTGCCGAAACAACCCAAATATTTCAATATTTACAAGTATAAGCTATCACTCCGTGATTACACGGCCGCCATTTTTATTTTTTCAGCATAATCAGCAATATGACACCTTACTTCCCATCCCCTCTGCACGCATAAACAAAGCTGGAATTGCCTATTGAATTTTGCGTTCAAACTCACTAGATGTCGATGACAAGTTAAAGATTCAAGAAACGGACCAAAGACAATGGCTGAAAATTTCACCAACCATTCATCGTGGTGGCTACAATGCATTAAGTGTCGCAAAGAAGTGGTAAACGCCTCAGACGTACGGTTGGCACAAGTGGGCTCAGATGGAGGCCTTCATCTCGCTCTACGACCGGAACTTGAACCCTGGGTAGATTCAGTCATCAAGAAACGGCAGCATCCAAAGCCTCACCGAAGAAAGGAAGCTCCCTTTAAGATGTACTGCCTGAACGCAGGTTGTCCCCAAGATCTGGGCGTGTATCAGTTGTTGGAAGATCGATTTTTTTACGTCTTCAGTTTCAAGTCCGTCCGTTTCGGATCGAGGAGCGGCGATGTTGCGAAGATTAAACGATGGAAGGAAAGTAAGGCGGAGCTTGAAAGGATGGGAGTTCAGGTGTTGCAGGTTGGTTTTAGTGGCCTTGTACCTGCCCCAGGTTAGGTCTAAAAATGTATATAAATATCACTCGAAAATTCCATGTACAAAAAATACTTGAACAATTACTTCTATCAAGTGAGATGCCCCAAACCCTGCTAGTGTACAATACGTTACTCTGAATGTGCATACATACCGGACAAGCTGAAAAGCTTGCCTGATCACGGTGGGAATCGAACCCACGACCTTTGGAGATACTAGTCAAATGCTCTATCCCAAAGGTCGCGGGTTCGAATCCCACCGTGGTCAGGCAAACTTTTCAGCCTGCCCGGGGTGGATATACACTCAGAGTAACATCAGAAGTATATTCACCTGCGTACATAACATCAAAAAGACACAAAAAAATATCATGAGTAATAATGTCTGTTTAGATCTATTTTTGTGATGTTGAAGTTAGTCGTTTATATTCTCCAAACACATGCCCAGCTAACCGGGATGAATCGTGTCATGAAATTTTTTTCTTGACCAAAAATAATCATTTGAATGAACTTGGTGCTGTCACTGCATGGAATCAAACTAAGCCAATGGACCATTTGCATTATAGATAAATTTTGATCTGGACAAAAATTTCATCACAGCTTGAAAGAGCATCACAAAATTAGTAATATTCCAAATGTTGCGAAATGTTGTAAAATGCGGATAATATAGCCATGCGAAGTTTGCCGTTTTTCAGTCATTTTGTATTACAAACGGGAAATTGATGCCCCAACACCCGATTGGGCTGTCAATTTCCCGTGAGTAATACAAAATGACTGAAAAACGGC